GGACCGCAATATGCACTGTTGGAAGTTAAGTTAATATTACGTGCTTATCCCGGTGTGGCTGCTGGACTTCGGTCCAAATATTCACATCCACTTTCAGCCTGCGTTTATAGGTCCTTGTTTAAATGATTTATTCCAAGTTAATAATTAACTTCTGAGAAAATTCAAAGGAACATTCCACTCTTTGTCTTTGAGCTCCGCCTTAGAGCCTTTGCTTCCGGTCCCATAGCGCTGAGTTATCAGCATCTAAGATTTCTCGGTAAAGGCAGGGGAAACTAGAACTAGCTGATTCGCTGCCGTCAGTTCACCATACTCACTCCACAGGCTAGATAGGCGTGAGGTGTTGGTCTGGCTTTTCTCCCTCGCTCGGCTAATTGTTTCGCTGGGTTGGCCGTGGGCTCTTGTAAAGCAAGTATCCCTTCCTGCAGTTAGAACATAACGGTGAACGCGGCTCCCAGGTGGCCGAATATGACCCGTGACAGTCTACTAAACTTGTGTTTCTGCATCAAGTGTTAACATATTAAGCCCAATTAATCTGAACTCACGTTTAGGGTCTCCAGGTTCTATTGTTAGCCGTGGGAGGATTTAACCCAATATTCGAATAACTGGCGTAGTTTTTAGAATGTCCTTCAAACCCCTAAAGAGCGCTTTGACGAGAAAAATCATTTGAGATAGCAGGAATCGAGGCCCATTTTCAGCCTCGTGCGCAGCTCGAAGTGTGTCAACCAGTACAAGCTGACGAACTTATCAAATTCCGCCATTATGCCCATTACCAGGTCTAACTACACGTTTTATGGGGAACAGAATCCCAGGTACCTACCGACGTGGGGAAGGAGACCGATCTACCATGCGGAACCTATAGGTGCGCCATCAATGATGCATTTTTGATGCCGCACCATTTAGAAAAGGCTCCAGGCCCCGGTACGAGGCCGATAGATTAGGCTTCTTTATAATTTGCACTGACCCGCAAATTACAATCGCGATTACACGCTTAGGCGTAAAAGTTGTGGCGGCAATTGCCTTGGGAGAGAATAATTCCAGTGGGCGGACCTAATTGAATATTTGAATCACACTGACCTCTGAGTTTTCTTGCTTGACAGAAAGGAAGCAACAAAAGAAAACCAAGAATCCATGTCCTAGTTACCATCGAAAAATAAGAAACGCAGGAAAACTTATTGTTCTGGCTGCGTAATTTAGGCGTCTTCAGATCCCTTGTATGCGAAGGCTACTCAAGTCGGGGACTGATTTTGTGGTGCTGGCGATCGTTTGCTGTTGGGTTTGGTCCTGACTGTTGTGTCCGAGGCGTTCCGCATGGTGATCACCGTCGCACCTCTCCCACCATGGATTGATAAAGTTCATCCAGACACAGTTCTCCCACTTGTACGTCAGCTGAGTCTTCTGAGACCTCAGTAATCTCGACCGGTGGCCTCAAGGGTGGACTACACACCCCAACGACGGCGGGAAGGGGGCAGTCCTCATCATCGTCAGCGGCCTCGAGTTGAGTGTTGTCAAGGTCAGTTATGGATCGTTGGATTTGTCTGCTTACGCTATTGCCGGCTCCTGGAAGGAGGATTCCAGTTATTCGGGCACTATAAAGTGAAAAATAGTTGTTGCGGTGGAGGACTGGGTCGAAACAGCTTTTAATTGCCAATAGGCGACTTGGCGTGTGCGTTTCATTTTGTCGCGGATAAAGTTCTTGGTCCAAGAGGCCACAACATACAACGTAAATTTGTTGGCACTCATAGTACTTCGTTCTAAAGCACACGTACGTCATTTAAAATCATGCTTTCGCGGAAATTTACCTATTAGGCAGCCATTTACGGTTTCAAATAGGGCTGGACCGTTGTTGAGCAAGTGAATGTTAAGTGTAAACAGTCAAGACGTACGGTTGGTGACCTATCTTATGCACACTCATGGTTGAAATTGGAATTGGTAGTTAAGCGTATCTTTGGTTTTGTTTTGGGCCCTTTGAGTGGATTGAATGCGCAGAAAGCTATGATTTTGGCGAAATTAGAGGTTGCCGGATATCCAATACTTTTTTATGTTATTTAATATAAAAGAACCAAACCTTTTGGCG